ATCCTTGAGAAGCAATTGGCTAAAACATAAGTTTGGGGGAGAGATGAGGAGTTTGAAAGTGGTATCAAGGCACAAAAAGAGAAGAAATGAAGAAAAGGAAAGGTAAAGAAAAAGAAAGAAAGAACAAAAGAAAAATGCAAAAAGAAAGTGAATAAAGTGAAGAGTTGAAGGGATTCAAAGAAAAGCAATGATGCAAAGCATGGAGAAAATAAAGAAGGAGAAATGAACATCATGACCAAGAAAGAGTGATGTTAAGTCTCTCTAGTTTCCATAAGGAAAAAGAAAATGACTTTAAGAGTCGGCAAAACATGAGCCAAAAAGAGAAAAACGGATTGCTAAAGGAAAGATGAACCTGTTTCTATTCCAACATTCCCTACCTTATACAAAAGCCTTCATTACATTCCGAAATAGCCCTACGTGATTTCAAGCTGAGTGAACTTACATTAGTGGTGATTTACATGAGGGGCACGCATATGGCACTTAGAGCCGTACTTGTGACATTCTTTTGGGAGAGATGAGCGAACTTTTCACAAATCCTTGAATTGAGTGCTACATTCTTAAGTGAGATATGCTAACAGAGAGTAGAGGAGGAGGAGTTTGGGATCCACAATGACCTACATGAAAGAGCGAGCTTCCTTGATGAATAAGTCAACTCTTGATGCCCAAGTGTCACATTAGAACTATTGGCGCTTAAAACTTCAAATCATTGTCTTGTTGATAATTCATGAGTGTTGTGGGTAATTGTTGGTCCCAATTGATGTGTGTTTGATACACCTTAGATTAGTTGGAAAATCTCTTAACATGTGGAGGTGGGAATTACTTTAAATGCTTGAGGACAAACAAAAGCTTAAGTTTGGGGGAGTTGATAAGTTGGGATTTTGACTACTTATTAGCGCCTTTTTACTTTCGTTTTAGTCCAAAAGTGCTTAATTGTATTCCCAAAAACTAATGAAATGTGCTTAAATGCAGGCGTATTGGAAAATGAGCCACAAAGATGAAATAAAACTCAAAAAGGAGTAAAGTGAACTCAAGAACAAAAAAGCAGGCAAAAGGCATAATGTGCGGACCGCAGAATTCTCTCTACAACCGCAAAAGGTGAAGTGAAGCCTGTCAGAGGTCTAGTGTAATGTGCGGACCGCAAAATTATTGTGCGGCTGCAGAAGCTATGCTAGAGTTCAAGTTCAAAGAAGTCCCAGTTCAAGCCTCAAGGAAATGCGGACAACACAATTATTGTGCGGCCGCACTCAGAATTGTACAGTCCGCAGAAAGGGCCTGCGTGGTCGCACTCCGTTTTGTGCGGACTGCAGCACAAGTGACATGCAGCCGTAATCTAGAATTATGCGGCCTCAGACCAAGCTCCTACCAAGACTGAAGAAGAAGTGCGGACTGCACATGGAATTGTGCGGCCGCAGAACCTCGGAAAGGGCATTTTTGTTCGAAATTTCCAGCTGTATATAAATAGACTACTTTCACGAAATTAGGTCAAGTTTTGAATCTGTGAACATCTGTAGCCGTTTCTTCTTACCCTTTTAGGAAACTTTAGCTTACTTTAGTGATTAAACATTAGATATTTGTCTTTTAATCTTTGAATATGAGTTTTATCATCTTTTCTTCTCTATTTTCTTCATTATCCATTATGAGTAGCTAGATTCTTAGCTAGGGTTGTGACCCAACCCTAGTGTGTAAACCTTATGTGTGATTAATTTTATGCTTGTTTACGAACGGGTGTTTGCTATTTAGCTAGGTTTATGCTTTATTTGTGAATTAATGGCTGCAAATATTAATTTTTGCCTTTTTGACTTAGTCTCTTCTTGAGAAATAGAGACCTAGTCTAGGGCAACCTAGCTAACAAGTAATTGGATCAATTGAGAAATTGATCAACCTAATTAAAGGGTTCAACCTAGAGATAGTAACAACCTGACTTGAGCTCTTATCAAGCGTTTTGGTAGATACCCATTTGGTCATGAGATAGTCAAATTGGGCAAAACCATTCTCTAACCGAGAGGTATCGAGTGGGAAACGCAGTGTTGTGAGCTATAATACACCCCGTTCAACAAAACAGCATAAATGTCTTTATCCCATTAGGTGAACACCTAGGTCATGGTCAACACCCTAGTCCTTTTACAACATTTGATAAAAAACCAAAAGTACCATTTCTTAGTTTCAATTACTTAGTTGCAATCTTAGTTTAATTTAGCTATAAAACCAATCAAGTTTGTGGAAGTGCAATTTAGGATAGTTCAAGCTCATATACCGTAATATATACTCCTAAATCCCAATATCATAGCTCCCTATGGAATTGGACCTCGATTCAAAGTTGGGTATTACTATTGCATCGACCGTTTCACTACCTCAAATAGAGGGTGTGACTTGGACGACATCAGAGCGAGGTAAATTTCTCTACTCTTCTAGGATCGAGCAGTTTGCCTCAACTGTATGGTAACACTATTCTTATAGGATCGAGCCGTTTGCCTCGGCAGTACTAAGTACCACTATTCCTATAGGATCGAACCGCTCGCCTCGGCGGCTTCGTGCTTAATATTTGAGATCGGATTTTTTTTGGTAACAGTTGAGTTAGCGCCATCAAGGCCGGTTATGACATGTTTAGTGATTTGATATAGACTCATGTGTGGGATTACTGTAATTACTTTTATTTGCTTCGTTGCTACTTGTTGTACACTCACCATGTCTACTTTATGTTTCTATCACTGTTTGACCACTAGTAAGTGTCAAGTCGACCCCTCGTCACTATTTCTTCGAGGTTAGACTAGATACTTACTGGGTACACATTGTTTTTCGTACTCATGCTACACTTCTGCACTGAATGTGTAGGTACTGAGACAGGCACTACTAGTGGTCACACGGGCGCACAACTGCACTTCTACGGAGGCTTAAGGGTGGGCTGCCCGCCTTGCTACGATCTACAACACCGGAATCTCCCTTTACCTTATTTATTATTACCTTCCAGACAGTAGTGGTATTAGTTTTGTATATTCTCTAGATTTCTCATGCACTTGTGGCGCCAGATTTTGGGGGATTTTAGCATTCATGTAGTGTTGTACTTATCATTATTGTCAGTACGGTTATTGTATTTCTCACGCTGGTATTTTATTGAGAAAAGAGTATGTACGGTTGCATGAGATCTTACGTACTTCGTCCTTTTAAAAAGGAAGCTTTTGTTTTAAAAATTTAAAAAGGGATAACTAAATTGTAGGTTCACTTGTGGGCTTGTCTAATGGTGGAGTTAGGTGGCATCACGATCTATCACGGGGTTTGGGTCGTGACATTCATCCAGCTAGTTATGACATCTGTTAGCACCACTAAATCTACAGTGAACGTTAATGTAGAAGGCTTTGGATATTTTGAAGGGAGAAGAGGATTGAGACAAGGGGACCTAATTTTCCCTCCTATTTGTCTTAATCGTGTAGTACTTATCCAGAACACTTAAGAAAATGAGTGAGCTTCCAGATTTCAAATATCACTCAATGTGTAAAGCACTCAAGTTAACTTATCTAATCTTTGTAGATGATTTGATAATTTTCTGTAAAGGTGATATTAAGTCCATTGCTAGAGTGATGGAGGCTATAAGCCATTTTAGCAACACCGCGGGCTTAGTTGCAAATGTTGAGAAGACTAATATCTATTTGGCAGGAATTGGTGCTGCTACACAAGACCAAATTCTAGCTAGAATAGGATTAACTACATGGACCCTTCCTATCAAGTAACTTGGACTGCCTTTATCTTCCAAGAAGTGGAGAAAAATGGAATTCCATGAACTAGTGGGGAAGAAAACTAACGGGGTCAGGAATGTCTACTTAAGACACCTATCCTATGCTAGGAGATTACAAATCATAAATATTGTATTGTTTTCAATATATAACTTCTGGGGGGCTGTATTCATCCTGCCTCAGAGTGTTCTTAAAGAGGTGGACAACATATGTAGGGATTATCTCTGAGGTAGTACTGAAGATCATAGGAAAGTTACGTTAGTAGCTTGGGACAAAGTGTGTACACCAAAGAAGTATGGTGGGCTGAACATCAAAGGGTGCAGGAACTGAAATATCGTTGTTGTAGGGAAATTACTTTGGCAATTGGCAATAAAGAAGATCCATTGTAGGTAATGTGAGTACATGGGATATACATGAAGCATGAGAGAGACATTTGGAACCACAGCCATCCTATCGATAGTAGCTGGTACGGGAGGAAATTAAATTCACTTAAAGAGGTGATGACACAATGGTATTATGATGGGAACTATGTGCTGACAGAGAATGGAGAAAACTCATTGACAAGGAGCTATAATGCACTACTAGAACCACAGGTGATATTGCAGGAGGCTAATTTGGTGTGGAACAGAGTGATGCAACCTAAGCACAAATTTTGTGTTTAGTTAGCTAACCAAGACAAGTTATTAACCAAGGAAATAATGACTAGAATGCATATCACAGTGGAGGATCAACATGTAGGCTATGTGATCAAGGGAGAAAGGACAAAGAACATATATTTATTTTATTCAGGAGAACAAAAGTTAGAAGGGCCTCATTCCTCAACCTCGGCTGTAAACAAGGCCTCATTAGCAATGCTAATGAGGCCTTTGTAGTTAAAAATTGAGAGAACCTTTGTAGTTAAAATTGTGATGAAGTAGAATTGAACTCATGACCTTTTCTAACTTAAGACTCGAAAAAATTAATAGACTAAGGCTATATTTGTCTAAAAGTATGATAATCAAAGTTATGTTCCAATTCTTTTTATAAATTTTAACACCGCTTACAAAAATTCCTGCGTACGCCCTGCTAACAAGGCAAACTTTTAAAAAGCTAATAACAACTGTTATTGCATAAACCAGAAACTAATGTTTCCTCATATATATACACAAAAGAAAAGAAAATATACTCCAACTTGAGATTAATTTCGATCATGACAAAGGAAAGGCCAAAAACCTAATTTAGCCTCGAGTATTCGAACACCATTGTTATAGAAAAGGAAAAAAGATACGCAACTCATCGTCGAATAACATGCTCTTCTCCTGAGTTTCTATCAACGTGTCTAATCCAACGCTTGACATATTTTCGAGTTTTTTTATTTCCATCTTTACTTGCTATATAAGCAATCTCCAATCCATTCCCAAATGGAAGTGTCACTGATCTCACAACACAAACTTTCCTATCAAGAACCCCATCCCAGCTGAACGTACTAGTACTACTCTCTATTTTACTTTTGCTTCCATTTTTGCTCACTAAAATGGCTCCACGATGGCCCAATTTAGCACTTTTAAAGACCCTCGTGAAGTCCTTTCTCCCCTCATCCACAATCAAAAAATCAATCCCATTTAGCCTTTCCATCACCTCTTCTGCCTCTCCTACCATCATTTCAGGCAAGGACGTGCCTGAATTTTGCATCGCGCCTACATACTCTAATCTTGACGATTCGTCTGGCACCACACACACGTATCTGCAGAAGCGAATTCAAAAATTAAACTTCACATGTTCAAATTTGAAGATTCTTAGACTTGACTAATTGTATTTTCAGAACTATATGTGGGTTAAAGAAATTCATATGTGTTTGAATTTTAATTTTTTTTTCACGCATACACATATTATGTTCTGTGTCAAAAATATTGACATACCTGCCATGACTGTGTTTTGCCGCGATGGCTAGGCTGATGCTAGTGGTGATTGAGTCGCCACTTTTCCATGCTTCAACCGTTAATTTCGCGTTGTACCCTCCAGCCATGGCTGATAAAAATTCTGCACCGCTGGATTTTCTTGAAATTCCACACTGCACATGAATAGCCCAAAAATTTTAATGGACTATTTTTTTATGGACTGATTAAAATAATAAAGTTAGAGGAAAATCAAAGCAAAAATGTTGTTACTTACTGTTTGTAGGGTGTCAAGATATGCTTTTGAAGCTGTTTCAGGAGACCAAATTAGCTTCATATTCTTCTTCTCTTCCTCCTCCTTTGTTTTCAAAATATGACAAAGAAATGGTGGTTTTCATAAATACTGTAGGCTGCTTTTAAAGACAAAGTTGAGAATAATATTATAAGGTTTTTAGAGGACGAATAGCTAGTTGTTTTCTGGAAATACTTGATATTTTCTATACACGTACAAGTACAACGTGCATCGCTATTTGCAGTTCAACAGTCAATTGATTATATCTAACTTTGTACCGACCTTTTCTATTGTATGACACTTTATAAATGTTTTAATGACGAAAAATACATCACCCTAGCTATTCTTAATTTCTTATGACCTTTCATTTGGTGGTTGACATTGAGATATAAACTTTGAAGTAGTTAACAAAATTCGTGATCTACCAGTTAGATTTATGTTTTCCAATTACATTTAGCTTATTGGTATGCATGAACTTAGCATAGAATACGATTCTTAAGTCTAATTTTATATGTCAAGTTGGAATTAATCAAAATCATCCGCTTATACGTAGACAGCCGTACATAAAATCTACAAGTAGTACAAGAAAGAAGGAGAGAGAAATGAAAAAGTAAAAGAAAAAAAGGGTTTGGTAGTTGCGTCAGATCATATGAAGTCAACTTCTCTGTCAAGTGGGAATAATCCTACCATAGACGAGGAACCATTATGTTATTTTGAATTTAAAGTGGCGCACGCTGTGTGGAAGAAATTGTTTCTGTTTAATCTTTTCTTTTTTCATTGAAATACTTGACTTGTTATCATGCCCCGACAAGTTCTGACCAAAATGAGGGATTTTATTTAAAGGTTGCCTAGCACGGTAGAGGATTCAAAATTTTTATCAAGGAAATTCAAAAAAATAAATAAATAAATAAATACGCGATGAAGTCATGAGAATTCAACATTCAATACATATAAGCTAAAACTTTTACATTATATGGCGAGAAAGGCAAAATCTGGAGGAGGAGGGAGTATTGTACAGCACACCACAACAGAAAGAGACATAAAAAAAGTTCCACAGTCATCGGAGGTGAAGAAATTCCGAAATGTCAATGCAATATACAAGGTATAGCTCCATTAGACCTAGGTAGAACGATGGCATCGACATCAACAATGGTGGAGAATACGCCGGCAACGAAATCATGGGCAGATCTAATGGAGGAAGAGGGAAGTGAGTCGGAATCAGTAGGAAAGCAAAGCCATGCAAAGACACAAACAAAAGGGAAGAATTGGAGTCGAATTGTAGAAAAAGGAGAACGAAGTAAAGGGAACAACCTAACCATGAAAGAAGGGGAGCAATTGAGAGAAAATGTTAAAATTACTATGGAAGACATAAAAGAGGAGATAGTCTACTGGAGATGTGATATAATATGTTACGTGCTGGGTTCAAATCCACCACAACAGTTATGGAGGGCTACTTCAAAAGAGTATGGGACTCACTGGAAATAGATAAAATAGCTCAGGTAAACCTGGGTGTGTTCATAGTAAGATTTCACTCAATGGAGAACAAGGAAAAAGTAGTGGAGGAAGGAATTAGAATGTTCGACAAAAAACCAATGGTAGTTAAACCACGGAGACCTGATATTGGACTTTATAAGTAGGTGGTTGATAAAATTCCTGTATGGATCAGATTGATGAACCTGGATATCAAGTACTGGGGACAAAATGCTCTAACAAAAATAGCAGGAATGATTGGTAATCAACTGAAAGCGGACAGAGCAACAACACAAAAGGAGAGGTTACAATATGCAAGAATTCTGGTATAAGTAGAACCAAACCAGATTGTTGGCCCAATAAAGGTTAGTTTTGAAGACTGACAAAGGAACTCAGATATGAACCAGGTCCATCCTAGTGGAGCACAGATATGGACAGACTTAAGCATGTGAGATGCACGTGAAGGAGATAAACTTAACTTGAAAGAAGTAATATCTCCTGATCCTGATCGAAAAGGTTGCATATTGGATAAGGGAAGGACTCCTTACTCAAAGAGAACACGGCTTAAGAAAGGAAAGGAGTTAGAGGTTGAGATCAACTAGAACTCTTCCACCAAGGAAGAGTAGCATCAGAATTCTAGTCAATCTCTATTTACTAACTCTATAAATATCAGTGTTGTTCTCTTTTACAGGTAACGCACATAAGCGGAAGTTAAACGTGAATTGAGAGCAAAATAACAAGGCAATTTTGTAAGCAGTTCGTGTGTGATTCAAGCGTGCAAACCTGAAGCTACTTGAACCATATAGAAGAACCAGTTCAAAGTGTTTGTCTTTTATCCTAGTTCAATTGTAGTAGGTGTTTTCATATTGTACCTTTTAGCTTTATCTAGAGGCAATTGTTATAGGTACTCAGAGTATTCAAGTTAGAGTTAACTTGAAGTTGTCGCAACAGTTAGAGGCTGCGTGCTACAACGGAATTAGAGTTAGTCCTAGGTTTACAAAAGAGTTTTTGTAAATGCAGCTTTTGGCTTAGTGATTTTAGTGGAGAATTTGGAAAAATCCTACTGTAAAGTAGGCGGCGGTTTTTTTCACCTTTTGAGCCAAGTGTTTTCCACGTAAAAAAACTTGTGTTCTTTACTTTCCGCATTTACTATTTCTGCAATAGTAGGTTAAGGAACACTTAGAAGAACCAGGTCCTTCCATAAACAGCTTAAGAGAAAAATTGGTCACCACACAAATCACCCCCTCCCCCTCTTGTGTGATATTGAAGTATAAAATATCAATTGGTATCAGAGCAGTTTATCCTTGAAGAGGCTAACACCTTAGGAACAGATCAAAATGAGTGCACCACCTAGAAACTGGGAAGGACAATCCACTGATAGGCCTGCACTCTTTAATGGCCAGTACTACTCCCGGTGGAAAAACAAGATGACAGATCACATCATCGGAGAGGATTATGAACTATGGGACATTGTTACTGATGGTCCCCTTGCTACCATGAAGAAGAATGCTGAAGGAGAAGATGTGCCAAAGACTAGAGCTGACTGCACTGTTGAGGACTTGAAGAAGTGGGAAAAGAATGCTAAGGCCAAGAAATGGCTTGTGTGTGGACTTGGTCCAGACGAGTACAGCAGAATTCCAAGCTGTACTACTGCTAAAGAAATTTGGGACACTTTGCAAGTGGCTCACGAAGGAACTCCTCAAATGAAAAGATCAAGAGGAACACTGTGTACTCTCAATATGAGAATTTCACCATGAAGGAAGGAGAAACCATCCAAGAGATGTATACAAGGTTCACAACACTAACAAATGAACTTAAGTCTCTTGGAAGGATTATCCTTGAAGAAGACAAGGTTGAGAACAAGGGTTTTGCCAGTTACTTGGGAAAGCAAAATCACTACTATTCATGAATCAAAGAACATTGTCACTCTCAAGTTGGACGAGCTAATTGGAAATCTCACTGCCTATGAACTTAGAAGGCAAACCATGAAGATGGATGCACGTCTCTCAGAATTGTTGAAGGTGCATATCTAGAGGAGGATGAAATGGCTATGATCACGAGGGATTTCAAGAAGTATCTAATGAGAGGAAAAGGTTCTTCAAGAGGTGCAACCTATAACAAACCAAGGGTCCCTGAAAAACAGAACAACGAGGGCTGCTACAAATGTGGTAAGACTGACCACATCATCAAAAACTGTCCTTAGTGGGAAATTGAATGGAAGGAGGAAAGGGCTAAACGAAGAAACAAGAAGAAGGAACAGGTTCATCCTAAGAAGAACAAAGGATCAACAAAAGCTATGGTTGCTGCTTGGGGAGAGAGCTCAGATGAGGATTCAGAAGATGAAGATGGAGATGAACAGGCACTTATGGCCATTGGAGAATCTGATGAGGAATTAGAGGTAAGTGCGATTCATCTCAAAGACAAGATTAAATTTTTGTCTAAAGAAAGTCTATCTGAGTTACTGCTAGATTTAATTGATGAATTTGAGGTCATAAACAATGAAAAGGAACAGCTGGCTAAGGATTGTGTAATCTTGAAAGCTAAGTGCAAAAATCTGGAACTCAGGGCTAGTGAAAGTGATAGTAAAAATGCTGAGGTGAAGAACCAGGTGACACCACTATGCTAGAGCTTAGATCTGAAAATTAAAAACTGAAATTAGGAACAGGTAAAAAGAAAACTGATCACACACATCTCACCTTAGAAGAAAATCTAGGAAAAATGAAAGATGAGTAGTACAAAAAGGATGAGCAGATAAAAGTCCTAAAAGAAGATCTAAGCAAGGTTAAGCATGAACCAGACAGAACTTGTAAATGGAATAAGTCCTCTGATGCACTATCATGGCTACAAGAACACCATAGTAGCAATAAGAGAGGACTTGGCTATGGGACCCCTGCACCAAAGTGGGATCCCAAAAGCAAGTACATCACACTTCCTGAGAACAAAATCTGCACACACTGTGGTAAGACTGGTCACTACAAAAGTGAGTGTACTGTAAAAGAAAAGGCCAGTCAAAAGAACAAAACTTTTGTTCAAGGGAAAAATAGGCTGCTAGGATGGGCTAAAAAGAATTTAATTCACCCTTTTGATTATAGAAAGGTCCCAAACTAGTTTGGGTTCCTAAGACTAACCCCTGATTTTCTTTTGCAGGTCCAAGTGAAGGGGAGCAGCCAAATATGGTACATGGATTGTGGCTGCTCAAAGCATATGATTGAAACCAGTTCCTTTCACTTGAGGACCTAAAAGGAGGTAATGTCTCCTTTGGAAATGGTAAGAAAGGTGAGATCATTGGGGCTGGAAAGGTAAGTAAGACAGACTCACACTCCATTGAGAATGTCTACTTGATAGATGGCTTGAAATATAGCCTAATCAATGTATCACAACTGTGTGACAGAGGTAATTTGATAGCATTCACCTCTACCAAATGTTTTGTGATAAATCTTACCACTGACAAGATTGTTTTGCAGGGAAAAAGAGTAAACAATAGATACATTGTAGATCTGTCCACTCTTTCAGAAAATGAACTCACTTGATTAAGTGTGTTGGACAATGATACCCTCCTTTGGCACAAAAGACTTGGACATGCAAGTCTAAGTCAATTCAACAAATTAGTCTCCAAGGACCTGGTGATAGGGCTGCCTAACATCAAGTTTAAGGAAGACAAAGTTTGTGAGGCTTGTGCAAGGGGGAAGCAGGTAAGATCCTCTTTTAAATGCAAGAAAGTGGTAAGCACGACCAGATCGATGGGACTGGTTCATATGGATCTCTATGGTCCAACGAGAACATTAAGCTGAGGTGGTAAAAAATATGTGATGGTGCTTGTTGATGATTACTCTAGGTTTACTTGGACATTGTTTTTAACATCTAAGGATGAAGTATTTGACATGTTTACTTCTTTTGTTAGAAAAACTCAGAAACAACTAGGTAATCAACTTGCATTAATTAGGTCGGATCATGGAACTGAATTTGAAAATGCTAAGTTTGCTGAATTTTGTGATGTGCATGGCATAGATCATAATTTTTCTGCCTCTAAGACCCCACAACAAAATAGAGTAGTTGAAAGAAAGAATAGGACACTTGAAGAGATGGCTAGGACTATGCTTCTTTCTAGTAAACTGCCCCATAGCTTCTGGGCAGAAGCTATAAATACTGCTTGTTACATCATTAATAGGTGCATGACTAGACCTCTTGTAGAGAAGACTCCCTATGAGTTACTTAAAAGGAGAAAACCAAATATATCTCATTTTAGGGCATTTGGATGCATGTGCTTTGTGCACAACAATGGAAAGGACTCCCTAGGTAAGTTTGATCCCAGAAGTGATGAGGGAGTATTCTTGGGATATTCTTAACATAGCAAATCTTATAAAGTGTACAACAAAAGAACTATGTGTGTAGAAGAAAGTGTACATATGGTTTTTGATGAAACTAAAATTGAGAGACAGGAACATGAAGATGAAGCCATTGGGCTGGTAAAAGGTTTAAATGAAGTCACAGCCCAAGCTGAAGCTGCACCAGAAGAAGGAATAGGTGATGGAACAGGTTCTTCCATCCAGGGCAACCTGACAGGGGGAACTGAACAAAGAAGAACTGAATCTAATTCCCAAATGGAACCTATCCATGAGCTGGTTCCTCAGCAACAAAACATGGGAGAAACATCAAGCAGAAACTAGTTGGTTGTGAAATCTTACAAGTATCAAAGTTCTCATCCCATTGAGAACATAATTACTGATCCAACCTCTGGAATTAAAACTAGATCTCAATTAAAGAATCTTTGTGCTTTTGATGCTTTGCTATCTCTCATTGAACCTAAAAATGTTGCTGAGGCTTTGCAGGATACAGACTGGGTAAATGAAATGCAAGATGAACTCAATCAGTTTGAAAGGAGTCAAGTTTGGCATCTGGTTCCAAGACCTAAGGACAGATCAGTAATTGGCACTAAATGGGACTTTGGAAACAAACTTGATGAAGATGGAATTGTTACAAGGAACAAGGTAAGGTTGGTGGTTCAAGGTTATAACCAAGAGGAAGGCATAGACCATGATGAGACCTTTGCTCCAGTTGCAAGGTTGGAAGCAATAAGACTCCTCATGGCCTTTGCTGCATACATGGAATTTACTCTTCACCAGATGGACGTCAAGAGTGCCTTCCTAAATGGCTATTTAATAGAAGAAGTGTTTGTCAAACAACCTCCAGGGTTTGAAAGCAAGGAGTGTCCGTCATGTATACAAACTAGACAAGGCACTCTATGGACTCAAGCAGGCTCCTAGAGCATGGTATGAACGACTATCCAAATTCCTGCTTGAACATGGCTACAAGAGAGGTAAAATTGATAGCACTCTATTCTTGAGGGAAAAAGGTAAGGATCTTCTAGTAGTACAAATATATGTTGATGACATAATTTTTGGGGCAACCACTGAAAAACTAAGTAAGGAATTTGCTAAACTAAAGGGGAGTGAATTTTAAATGAGTATGATGGGTGAGCTTAATTTCTTCTTAGGCTTACAAGTTAAACAAAACTCAAATGGAACCATGATCCATCAGTAGAAATATGATAAAGAGTTGCTTAAGAAGTTTAAAATGGACGAATCAAAGGAAATAGACACTCCTATTGCAACAGCCACAAAATTGGACATAGATGAACCTGGTTCATTTGTTGATCAGAAGTTGTATAGGGGTATGATGGGTTCACTTTTGTATCTTACTGCTAGCAGACCTGACATTGTTTTCAGTGTAGGGCTTTGTGCTCAATTTCAAGCAAATCCAAAGGAATCCCACTTGACTGTTGTCAAGAGAATATTGAGATACTTGAAAGGCACTACTGACCTTTGCCTTTGGTATATAAAAGGTAGTAACTTTAACCTAGTAGGATATGCTGACGCTGACTATGCAGGTTTCCTTGTGGACAGGAAGAGCACCTCTAGTATGGCACCCTTTCTTGGTTCATGTCTTGTGTCATGGGCTACTAAAAAGCAAAATTCAGTGGCCTCATCTACTGCTGAAGCTAGGTATGTTACTGCTGCTTCTTGTTGTGCTCAATTGCTGTGGGTTAAACATCAGTTGATGGATTTTGGTATTGAAGTTGGTTGCATCCCTACTTTTTGTGATAACACTAGTGCTATTAGTATGACTAAGAACCCGGTTCAGCATAAGAGAACTAAGCACATAGATGTTAGACACCATTTCTTAAGGGACAACTATGAGAAAGGACTGATCACTATAGAATTTTGTGCTACTGATAAGCAGATTGCTGGCATCTTTACAAAAGCACTGAGTAGAGAAAGCAAAGGAACAGGTTAGAACTAGGGATGATTAAGATCACCTAATGGAACCAGTTCAGAATGCACAATGAAAAAAAATTTATTTATTTTTGGTTAGGAAATCTGGAACTTGTGTACATATCTAGATTAATCTTTGCTCAGTATCATACTGTAAATAGTATACTCCTGTGCCATGTGTTGATATGACTCACTGATCTCTAACAAAATTTTCTCTATTTTGGCAAATTGAGGCATGATCAAGAGGATTCTTAGTGAAGAACCTGGTTCATCTGAATAACGAGGTATGTTTTCTACACTCTGCACAATCAGAAATATGGATATTTAATTCATGAGCAGAGTCCTACCTATGTTCAAAAACTTCAAAAAGCCTGTCCTTTTGAGTTTGAACCAGTTTCGTTTCAATTAGACTCCTGACCGTATTAAAATGCCTAGATTATAAACTGTCCTTTCAACCTAAAATTCAGAGTGATTGGACTTCCAATTGACTATAAAAAGCTGTTGTTGCATATTAATTATCCTCTCCCTTTGAATTCCATCATCATCATCATCATCACTGCCACTCCCATAATTCTCAAAACCGTCAAAAATCTTCTGTTCTCTCCTCTTCTCTCTTCCAAAACTCAAATCACAAATTTCTTCCAGAATTAGAGAGAATGACCAACCCCCAAGATAATCCTGGCACACCTCCACCACCTACCCCCTCCGATTCCTCCACTACTCCTCAACCCAGCACAACCCCTCAACCTAAGAGAAGGCAAGTAGAGATGCTTGCTCGCAAAACTGTGGCTACAAGTGCGCTTTCAAGGAAACTAAATGCACAATTAAAGGCTAGTCAAGCCCAAGATTCCGAAAATTCTGATTATTCTTTCAAATCTGCGAGTGAGGGGGAAGGAACTAGGTCTTCTGATTCTGAGCAGGCAACATCTGTGCAAAATCCCCCTATTGAGGTAATTTCTAATCTAGCTGAAAATCTGGAGAATCGTTTTGTATTGGTTGTGTCTGTTGTGGATGTGGAAACGCCTGAGTAAAGAAGGAGAGGAGGTAAAAATAAAATAGAAAAAGAAAAAGAGAGTGAGGATGTGAGCAATGATGTGAGGGGAAAAGGGAAAGAAGTGGTTGATTCTTCACCCACTTCTAAAACGGTTAAAATGGCTATCTGTGGGGCTGAGCCAGAAAAGGTGGTAGAAAGTAGCAAAAAGCAGGGGGAAGTGGTTCAGGGGAAGCTGCTGAAGGGCTAGTCAATCTCAGTACAGATACGGATGAACCAGGTTCATCTATTGAGGAGACCCTAGCAGATCTTCTGAAGAAGCTTGGTGCAAGCTATATCCCCAAGAAAAGGAGAACTCTAACACCAGAAGCTTCTAGTACTGCAAGAACCACCAAGAAAAGGAAGGCTGCTTCTCCAACAACTACTGATATTCCTCTACCAAAAGGAAGGGCCACAAGAAGTAAGTTGAAGCAGAGTGAGGATGGGTTGCAAAAAGCTATGGAAAAAAGTAAGAAGAAAAGAATGGACAAAGGGAAAGCTAAGGTGGCAGATCCTGTTGAGTCTGTTGATGTGGATGAGATGGACCCGCTCCATTAGGGTGAACATGTGGCTGTGGAGGTTCAGACCCCTAAGCCCAAGAAGACCAAGACTTCCTCAAAGAAGTCCTCATCTGTATCCAAGTCTGCTGAACCTTCTTCTTTGGCTAAAAGGACAAGGTCTGCTGCGAAAGCCAAGCAAGTTAAGATTACTGAGGAGGAAGATTGGAGTGGTGAAGAAGAGGGTGAATCTGATAATGAACAAGATAAGCTGGCCAAGTTTGGCAAACGAACCATCTTGAAGGGTAGACTTTTGAAGGACTTGGAGGAACTAGGGATGGTTCTACTGGTTGATGCGCTAGATGTTCAGGGGTGGAAGGACATGGTCCTTCAGTTGGATGGTAGGCCGGCTAGAAATGAGATTATTTAGTTCATGGCCAATGCAGAGGTCAAGGTTGGCAGTGTTACCAGCCAGGTGAAAGGGGTTCAAGTGTCATTTGATACAAAAGAGCTGGGTGAAATCCTTAGCATCCCTTCTGAAGGTTATGATGACTACACGAGGCAAAAATGGCCAAGTCTGGACTCCCTTCCTACTGCCCTAGCCATTACTTGGAAGTTCTGTGATAGTGCAGAAGTGAATGAGGCCAAGGTTGTGTATAAGAGGGAGATGAAGCCATCCCACAAAGAGCTGTTTGAATTCGTCAACAAGTGTGTGCTGCCTAGGCAGGAAAGAAGGCATATTGCCAACTACATGGACTTGATTTTGATGGAGTGTCTGGAAAGTGGGAGGCAGATCAACTGGCCTGGGTTTATGATCAAGCTACTTGATCGGGTTATCAATGGCTCCAAGGCCCATGCCACTCCTTATGATTTCATTCTCACTACTGTTCTTGCCCGTTGTAAGGTGCCGCTGAAGAAGTGGGAGACGACCACAAGCAAAGACCATTTTGGAATCAATACTCTGATTGCTTGTGATTATGAGGTCAATGCCATTCCCAATGAACCTGGTTCATCTAAAAAGACACCTATCAATAGCGAGGTCAGAGCTCTATTGCAAGAGAGTGGGGCAAAGGATGCTGAGATAGCAAAACTGAAGAATTGTTTGGCAGAGGTTGAATATGAGAGAGATGCTCTCAGAACTGAGCTCACAAAGGAAAAGGAGAAGAATGATGGCATTATTCAAGACATGATGCACCTTCTCCAAGCCAAAACCCAACCCTCCAGTTCTTCCAAGCCTTAATTTCCTAAGCCTTCATTTCCTGAACCTTGCCTAGACCTTTCAGTGACCTAGATTAGGGATTTTTCTTGTTTTGCTCATGTTTTAACTGTTTTTGTTTCTTTTTGTAGATTGTGGCAGAATCACATTCTCTATCAATGAAGTTTGCTGCTTTTGCTCTTGTTGACTGTTTATCTTTCCTTGATAGTTTGAATATGTGTAGTTGATTACTTATGATTAATCCATGAATGCATTTGCAGTTGCCCCAGTGGCCATGAGTAATTTTTTAAAAGTCTGGGAATCACACTTTGTTTATGCAACTTTTTGATGATGCCAAAAGGGGAAAAGATATTGTGCTTTATATTCTGAATAGTGATGTTTATAACCTAATGATGATGCTGGTCCTTGATGATAAGTGAAAAATTTCTAACTTTTCATAGATGTTAAGCTGAGTTCTTGCAGGGCCTAAGTGTATGAAAGGTACAGAGTTTGTCATCACCAAAAAAGGGAAATTTGTTGGCCCAAGTAAAGGTTAGTTTTGAAGACTGACAAAGGAACTCAGACATGAACAAGGTCCATCCTAGTGGAGCACAGATATGGACAGACTTAAGCATGTGAGATGCACGTGAAGGAGATAAACTTATCTTGAAAGAAGTAATATCTCCTGATCCTGATCGAAAAGGTTGCATATTGGATAAGGAGAAGGACTTCTTACTCAAAGAGAACACGGTTTAAGAAAGGGAAGGAGTTAGATGTTGAGATCAACTAGAACTCTTCCACCAAGGAAGAGTAGCATCAAAATTCTAGTCCATCTCTATTTACTAACTCAATAAATATCAGTGTTGTTCTCTTTTACAGGTAACGCACATAAGCAGAAGTTAAACGTGAATTGAGAGAAAAATAACAAGAAAATTTTGCAAGAAATTCGTGCGTGATTCAAGCGTGCAAACTTGAAGTTACTTGAACCAGATAGAAAAACCAGTTCCAAGTGTCTGTCTTTTATTCTAGTTCAATTGTAGTAGGTGTTTTCATATTGTACCTTTCAGCTTATCTAGAGTCAATTGTAATAGGTACTCGGAGTATTCAAGTTAGAGTTAACTTGAAGTTGTCGCAACAGTTAGAGGCTGTGTGCTCCAACGGGATTAGAGTTAGTCCTAGGTTTACAAAAGATTTTTTTGTAAATGCAGTTTTTGGCTTAGTGATTTTAGTGGAGAGTTTGGGAAAATCCTACTATAAAGTAGGTCGTGGCTTTTTTCACCTTTTGAGCCAGGTGTTTTCCACATAAAAATACTTGTGTTCTTTACTTTCCGCATTTGCTATTTCTGCAATAGTAGGTTAAGGAACACTTAGAAGAACCAAGTTCTTCCATAAACAACTTAAGCGAAAAATTGGTCACCATACAAATCATCCCCATCCCCTCTTGTGTGGTATTGAAGTATGAAATATCGCAGATGTATCCAGATATGGTGATGTTTGAGAATTAATGTGGAGTAATCATTGAGCAAGAGATTAGCTATGAATGAAAACCAGTTTTTTATAAATCATGTGGCAATTTTGGACATGATATCAAAGAATGTAGGAAGAAATTAATTATGCAGAACCCAATGGTGGAGGAAATTAACATGGAACCAAACAATAGGAGGAATATGAATAGATCCAAGGAGGTGGAGAAACCTGTTGAGCAACAACAAGACATTGAAGCAAGTAACATCACTCCAACAGAAAATGGGAGTACTAAAGACAAGCAACAGGTGACACAGAGAAATAAGAATCAGATAGCAAATAGCAAAAAAGAGCAGGAAGCATGGAAAGTGGTACAGGGGAAAAAGCATGGAAGGGTCGAGGAAACAATCAAAACACTTATGCTGCAGTAACACAGCTATACAAGAGGAATAATGAGTGGAATGAAGGAGAGGTGAATTCTAACGGCACACAGATGGAATCATAAGGAAATGGTAATAAAACAGTAAGGATGGGGGACCTAGTCCTCACCTCCCTAATGGATAACATCGGATTTTGGAACACCATGGGCCTAAACAAGACAGCCAAGCAGAAGGAAGTGAACTTGTTCCTTCAAAGACAACAAGTTGGATTATTTGGGCTCTTAAAAACAAAGATTAAGAGGGCTAAGGCAAATCAAGCTTCTCTTAATCTTTGTACAGGGTGGTCTTTACTATAAAGGTGAAAATGGTTACAAAACAACTTATGCATAGTATGATTACTCACAGTAGCACATGTAAGGTGATTAATGTGGCTATGGTGTATGGTTTCAATGATCCAGCACTAAGGTATGACTTGTGGAGAGACATAAGGATTAAGCTAATCAAGTGGTAGGGGCAAGGGCAATTTTGGAAGACTCCAACTCTATACTCCATCAAGAGGATAGAGTGGGAAGTAGGGTGAGTTATGCAAAAATAAGAGAATTTAAGGAATGTGGACTAGAAGAACTGAAATTATGTGGATGTTTTTATACATGGAGCAATAATCAAGATGGGTCGGATATAGTACTAAGTAGGTGTAACGACCCAACTTCCCCTCCATTTGGGTATCGTGATGGCACCTAGTCTTAGGGACTAGGTAAGCCCAACTCATGCTGAAATACCACAATAATAAATAAAATTTTACAGTCTTGAAGCAAGTATCTCTACAAAATTTATAATTCCCAAAGCCCGGTAGTACAAGTCATAAGCTCTACAAAGTTTCGCTACAACTTCTAAACACAACCGCATGGAAATAAGTACAACAGTGTGAATATAAAATAGGAAGGTCACTCCGAAGCCTGCGAACGCAGCAGCAGGACTACCTTGAGTCTCCTCGGCAAGAATCCGCATAGCTACTAACAAACAATACCTGGATCTGCACAAAAATGTGCAGAAGTGTAGTATGAGCACACCACAACGGTACCCAGTAAGTATCAAGACTAACCTTAGTGGAGTAGTGACGAGGAACAGTCAAGACACCCACTGGTCTAATAAGCAGAACAAGTATAAGTATAGAAAAAAATACTGAACATGATATCTATATAAAGACTAAGCGATATTGCTAACAATACAGAAACTACAATAAAGAAAGAAAACAACAAGTAATAGTGGAAAACCATAATAAAGCTCATAAAAGTGAACAAAAAATACAACCCAAATTCGAAATCACAAATACAGTAAGGAGAAGTCATAACTCAGCAACTACGGCAGCCTTCACCTTGAGTCTTAACCAGCAAGCATCAATCAAATAATCAAACTCTTTTCAAGTGATAAAAATGGTTTGAAATATACTTCCTTCAAATAAGTGTTCTTTTTAAAAGAGTTTCTTTCAAAATGATGCTTTCAAATATAATCTTTTCCAAAAAGATAATCCTCCGAATATAAGTCACCCTGTGACACCTCATCTCAAAATCATACAATGCGGGTCTCAATACCTGAACCCTAACACTTGGCATCCTGTGCCCTCATCACACCTCATAATCATACTGACAACTCACGTGCCCAAAGAGTCATTCTCACATGGGAGGAAAATAAACAAGGGGTACATCTATACTCAGAAATCTCAAAGAGCTTCCTACCCGATAAGGGTGATTAACCACGTGTATGCTTGTGCAAGTGTCCTAATATAGTTTGCACCAACTAGTAAGTATAAGGATTGGAACGGACAACACCTATCATGTTTACACAGGATAGGATCAATGAAAATATCAGCTCAGAACACAATGATTTTAACAGGGGATCTCCCAGGATATCGTCCCGTAGTCCCAAACGTAAATATGTGTTCTAGGGATCTCTTAGTATACTGAGGATCTCTTGGTATCCTCAATATATGTACTAGGGATCTCTTGGTATTCCGAGGATCTCTTGGTATCCTCAATATATGTGCTGGGGATCTCTTGGTATCCCGAGGATCTCTTGGTATCCTCAATATATGTGCTAGGGATATCTTGGTATCCCGAGGATCTCTTGGTATCCTCAATATATGTGCTGGGGATCTCTTGATATCCCGCACTACAGCCAAAATCAATATATGTGCAGGGGAATCTCCCGGGTGCAGTCCCGTAGTCCCAGAAGTAAATATGCAGGGGGATCTCCGGGAACACTGATCCGTAAACCCAATGTAAACATGCAGCGCAACCAACAGAAACAACAGTCACAACACAACGGAAAGCTCGTACATCACCACAATACATGAAACAACAACAATGACAATAATACAAGGTAAGACAAGTA